ACACACACACACACACACACACACACACACACACACACACACCGGATTAGCAGTGTCTCTGATGATGAGCCACGGTGCACGGCTAACCTTATTAGACAGCCGTCTCTCTCTCTCTCTCTCTCTCTCTCTCTCTCTCTCTCTCCCTCTCCCTCCCTCCCATAATGCATCTCACTTTGTCTCCAGGAAGTGAGCGGATGCAGGTTGTGGGGGTAAGAGAGGCAGATGGGAGGAAAGGAGGAGATTGAGGGGGGGAAAAAGAAAGAAAACGGAGGAGAAGGAACGGAAGATATCAACGAGGGACAGGGAAGGGGAGGGAAGGAAGGGAGGGAGAAGCTGGCGCGCCGTGAAGCGAGTGCCGATTGGTCACTTGCTTTGCAACGGTGACAGCAGCCGACACTGGGGAAAGGTAGGAGGGGAGGGAGGCGAGTGCATCGGTGAAGCATGGTGGGAGACAGAGGGGTGGTGGGGGAGACGGTAACGGGAGGGAAAAAGAGGCGGAGGCCGAGGGAGGGGAGCGAGCCGAGAGAGGAAGCGATAGAGGCACGTCACGGAAAAAAAGACAGGAGGAACAGGTGAGAGGAGGCGTATAGCTCAGTCCTCCTGCAGCGTGTTTCAGGATGCACGTGTGGTTCACAGAGTGGAATGAATGCCTCAGTAGCCCTCTTAACCTTCACAGCCAGAGCAGCTTTTTTTCATTCCATTGATTACATGGTTATCCTCTGACCAGAGCACTGCCTCCGCCGCATAACAAATCAGGCCAGCGGCGGGGCAGAGAAGCCAGTCTATTTATCCACAACCATCCTGTGTGTGGGATCAGACGACTTCATGAAACCAACAGACTGGAGTTCATTTCATTAGTTGGTGTGTTTCACCAGGCAGAAACAGGTGATAAACACACCTTTAGTAAAACTGAATCAAGGCGAGAGCTACTCCGTGTGTGATGTCAAACCAAAGTAAGCCAACAGTGCTTTCTCTAGCCAGGCAACGACACAGAATACTCGTGTATCTGTTCTCTGAAAAGCACAAGGTGCTGTGAAAGTGCTGCTCCGTCCCTCCCTCTTTGAGTTTGCTTTCAAATTTCTGCTTTAATCTCTCCCTGGAGTCCCCTCCCATCAGACAGTCTGTCTGCCTTTGTCTGCCTACCTACACCTCCCATCTCCCCGTTTTGCTTCCTCGCGTGCCCGTCTACCTGCCTCCCAGTCTGCCGCTCTCCGCTAAGCTAAGCCCCCGCTCACTGCCATCTGATGAAACCCACCACGAATGGTGGGGGGCAAAGGAAGCGGCCGGGGAGAAGAACATAGTCGGAGGATTCAGAGCTCAAAGTGTTGAAGTGAAACTCCGTCTTTGCTCCGACGCCGATCGCCCGCCCGCTCAGGAGCCCGTTCGACTATTGACGCAGGTCTCAAAGGGGGGAGCCGCTCTAATTGCTGAGTGAATGAGGCTGCCCCGGAGAATGGTTGATTAGGAGGCTGCTGAATGCCCCGGGGAAATGGGTCACCTCCAGCCTGGCGTAGGCCGCCCACTTTTTCCAGCACAGGGAGAAAGTCAATTACACGCTGCAGGCAGTGAGGCCTGGTGGCAGAGAGGCGGCGGGGCCGTGCTGGGTACAATAAAGCCCCCGGAATGAGATATGCACTGAGGGAGATGGGAGGAGAGGGTCGAGGACAGCAAGATGAAATAAACGAGAGACGAGCAAAAGGATGCCAACTTCGAAATCCGAGTTTGCTTTCCTGAATGTGCATTTATGTAGATTCAACTTAGGGGGCGGGAAAGGGGAAAGGATTAAGTTCTTAAGAATCTATGCAGTAGGCAGGGTTCTGGTAAAAACCCTCCTTTGCCACATGTAAACATTCAAATTAAACCAGCTGTGCTGAAATCTTTTCTCCAGGATGGAGGTGCTGGTGATGGAAGCAGCTGATATAAATCACATCATGTTGGAGGAACGTCAGTCCTCATATTGATTTAACACACCTTCTCCATAACTGCACAGAATGTGAGAATCAGTATCTTACCTGCTGTAGATTGCTCCTTCAGTACTCTTAATTTGAAGAAACAGCGTAGTTCTGACAAGACTGATGAGCTAAAGGGCTAGTCTGAGCAAGGCCAAGACCAAAGTGAATTGCTGCAGTCTCAATTTTTATTTTAAGATTTATGAAAATAAGCATTCACGTGAAGCACTATTAAGTTTTTGAGATTTTAGTTGTTTTAAAATGGCAACAATTTAATTTGGCCTGGGCCCCATGAAGACTAGCTATAAGTTCTTCAGTTTAGGTTGAATAAAATCTCATTTCTACAAATCAAATTCATTTAAAAAGCCTCATGTTCCCTGATGCCCTGATGGTGTCAGGAGCTCTTGTTTGTCATGTGAAAGTTGTTCAAAAACAATCCAAACAAGTGTGTCCTTTAGTGTGGCTGTTGTTTTTCTTATACAACTGAAATGGTTACATTTAACTCAGATTTTCACAAAACTTTCACAAACGTACCAGCCAATCCAGCAAAACGTCAATTAATACGAAAGGAATGAGAAATGTGTGGTGGAAGTTTAGTTGGGATCACTTGAAACATAAAAGTCAGACTGACCGTTATAAAATCATCCTTCTTCATAAGAGAATTTAACTTTCGACTTTGAGACATCAAATTAGATTTATAATAAGAGGGCATTAATCCAAGAGGTTTAAGGCTGTATTTGAAGTAAAGAAATATGAAAGGACAAAGTAGCTCCCAGCTTCCAGAACAGCGATGAGATCCATCCGACTGATCAGGTGAGGGAAGCAGCTCTGAACTTTACTTGATCTGACTCTTCACCCCGATCTTGACCTGGGTAATTTCACAGAGTCACTGCCTTCACGCTGACCCACATATACACTCACCGGCCACTTTATTAGGTACACCACGCTAGTAACGGGTTGGACCCCCTTTTGCCTTCAGAACTGCCTCAATTCTTCGTGGCNCTGTAATGGTGCAGGGGCAGGAGCTGAGACACCTGAATTATTGGAGGGGCTGGGACAGAGAGGAAGAGGCATCCAGGAGGAGGAGAAAGAAAAAAAATAGATAAATAAAAAAAAGGAGGAAAGATCCAGGGCAGAGACAGGAGGATGTGGAAAACAAACAGAGGTCGGGTTGTTGTATAAATGAGGGATTTGGTCGGAGAGAAAGAGCCAGAGGCTGCTCGAACACAGGAATTATTCCGTCTGATTAGCTCCCAAGGGGCGCCGATACCCACACAAAGAAAAACCAAAAAAATAAAATAAAATAAATAAAATAAAAAAGGACGCCGCTGAAAACATTCAGTAAAGTTGGGTAAGGACTGAAAGACGAGCAGAGAGGGGGAAAGAAGAGACGTATCATTTAATAGCTGCGAGTGAACCTCCATGTGCAGCGAAAACACAGGAGACGAGAAAAAAATAAATAAAAATGAAGACTGGCAAGTGAGAGCAGCTGAAAGCAAGAGGAGAGGAAGAGCAGGTAGACGAGTCTAAACGCCTGTGTCATTTCTGTCTTCACTTCCTGTAACTATGGCAACCTGTCAGCAGCCAGTCAGGGCCAGCCGTAGCCTCTTCCCCTTCCTGTTGAGGTTGAAGACAGTGACTGAGGCACCGCGGGCTCTCTCTGCCTGATCTGCTGAAAGTTTGCCGAGTAAAAAAAAAAAAAGAAAAATCAAATCCAGGACTGCAACAAGCGTCTCAGCTCTGCAGGGTTTATTCTGCTGCAGAACGAAGGGAGAAGTGACGACAGCTGTAACAGAGCTAATAATGTGGCAGCTTTAACAGAGTGGACGAGCATGTGAACACCTGCAAACATCCAATTAAACAGAAACTGGCTGGGCCCGCACGGCCTGCCATTCCCCACCCAAAACTCAGAGACCGGTCTGTCCTCGCACACTCGTACCGTCCGGCGCCGCGGCCGTCAGTGGCTCGCGCCGTGATCCGGGACGACGGCGTCCACTCACCCTGCTCCTTGATCTGACGGATCTGGCGCACGGTCTCTTTGAGGATGGCGCACTTGTCGGGCTTGACGTTGAAGCTGTCGATGTCGCTCAGGTTGGCTGAGATCAGCTCTGCCAGCTCCTCGATGTATTTGCTCTCCTGCTCCCGGCGCTTCCGCTCACATCTGCAGGGGTGACAACGGTGGACAAAGTGTGAGAACTGAGAAAACTTGTGGCTTCCAGATACGATGGTCTGGTTTTAGAAACATCACGATTTGTTCCGCTCTACATGGTGAATGAAACTCGCCCCGGCTTGAAACATGCTAACAGTTACAGATGTTTCATCACCAGCCGTCGAAAATCGACCCAATTCAAAATGGCCACCTCGGTTAACCAACGTCAAACAACACAAAGATAGCCCCAATTTAGTCAATTCTAAAAATATTGAGTTGAAGTTTGATGTGGTCATAACTGAGGGACTTCAAAGGGATCCATGATTAGTTGTAACATTAGACTTTATTTAATAAACATATATTTTAACTGTAAAATAAAGAC